ATATGCTGTCATGTCTCTCTTATACTCTTCTCTATTTTTATTCTACTGAGTCCCAATGTTTTTAGCTTCACCCCTCTTTCACCATGTAGTAAGCCTCCAACAGTTTTTATGAGACAATGAGATGTACTGTTAATGACTTCTCCCTGTTTTATACTGTGATCACAGCATTAGCATGCAATTTGTCTCAATGTATTTGCCTCTACTCTCCACTATTATTTTTCTTTCTCCCTCACTCACACATTATGCCACTAACCAAATTTAGAGCCTCCATAATGTGGACTGATTGCCTCTTCCCCAAATGTTTATGTTTGTCTTAAATGTCTGTTTCTTAGCCAGACTTTCTTCTCACTTGGCCATTACCCGCTGCAATGAGCTTGGCAAAGCTGTCCCAGCAGAGACGTGTGTGTATATGAGACAACATAAACACAGACAGCTGTGTCAGAGGGCAGCCGATAGGCTAGAGACTCATTCATCTCCTTTTGTCTCTCTCTCTGTCAGGACACAGTCATTCCACCCCAACAAAAGCTGACTGTTTCTATCTCAGTTGAAAGATCAAAACACACCATTTAGTAGCTCCTCTTCAGCACAGATGACCTTTGTATCTCAACACTTCACCTCCCTCCTCATTCAGCCCTGCCTCCCATTTTACCTCTCCTCCCGACCTCTCCTCTCTGTGTCTGTACCGTTTCAGCCCCACTTCAGGGCATCATTCATTCTATGTGTAAATACCAACAAGGATTTGTCACACAACAAAGCTGCCATTAAATTGCATTTTTGTTTGTTTTACATGGCATGGTTTATTTCCAGGAGCGAATATGATTTGATATGTTAAATGCAATTGGCTTAGCTATGAATCCCCAGTGTTTTAACTGTGAGAAAAGAAAAGTCTCCATGCATTCCTTGAGGAAATTTCAATTTCCAGAATTCCTTCATAATGGTTTCACACTTACAAAGTGATACAGGGATTAGTAAGAACGGACTACAACAGGATTATTATGGATGGCTGGGTTTACAACCATCTCATTAAGACATCATCTTTACAATGCAGGATGTATGAATGATCAGATCTACTACATTTTGCTACATTCTGTTTCTCTGCAGTTGTGCCTAATTGCCTTGGTTTATTAAATGACCACTCACTGGTTGTAGAAATGGAAAAGTGTAATGTGTACAATGATCATGACCAGAAGTACCAGGAATGTTGTGCAAGCACCATGAGCAAAAAGGTGGAAAAAGCAGAAAAAGAACATTCACAGTTCTGTGTTAAAAGCCATCATATAGAGACATGTGCTCAAACCATAGCAGAAGATCATTCTGTCAGAAAGATAAATGTACGTAAGGATTTAAATAAATGAACAAATGCATAAATAAAATATCAACTTAAAAATGTACATTCATGAACCATCGCCTATATTTACTCAAGAGTAGGTACACAGTATAGACTTTTATAGTCAAGATGCTTTCACTGCCTGTAATCAATGCCAACACCTTTCCCAGTGGTTCCACTCTATTTCCACAAATTGGCTGAGTTACAAGAGTTATGACAAAACAACAGGAAAAAAATGAGATGCATCTTTTTACCATCTACCACTTTTACTTTCTCTCCACTGTCTTGTCCTTTCTGCTTTCTTCATCCTTGACCATTTTTACACTTCTCTCCTTTCTTGTCCTCATACCTTGCTCTGCTGCCTGTCTGAGACCTCATAGGATTGTCCAGAAGCCACTGTATCTGCAATTCATTCCTCTATCCTTCATATTGGGTTTCATTTGAGCCTGTCAGTCAAGGTGTCCGTCAGATATGGACTCTCCATTTCAGAAATTTTTTCTTCCTTCTTGTATTCTCAATGAATTCAGAGAGATTGACAGACACTCCGAAAGGGCAACTGTCAGAGGCATGCTCTCCCCACATATTGCATGAAAACAGCAGCAGTTTCTCACATACATAATATAAAGGATCTGATTCTTTTAACGTGAAATGGTTAACTAAAAATATATATTTCAGGACTTTGGCACCATATGCACATTTTAGCGTATACTTTGACTTTGTGGCATCACTGGTGGATTCAGTGAGGATGACTGTGAACCTGCAACATGGGATTACTGAGGCCAGAATTTCCATGCAGCATATTTCAACAGTGGTGACAGCATTTCCTCTGGGACAGAACAAGCTTGATCATGACTTCAATAATCTGACAATACCACCTTACTCAGAACTAGAAAAAATTAGGAAACTACTTGTGAATGTTTAATGTATGCTCACAGTTCAAGCTGTAATGCATACTAATTGGCTTCCTCATTAGGGTGTTCACATATTGTACTAGTGAGGAGCATATAAAGCAACAGTGAGTCAAGGCATTTTCTGATTTTAAAATATTATGATGATGGTCATTTGTTAGTTTTTACAAATCTTTGATTTGTTTTTGCTAAGTCAATTAGCAGTTTTCCAAATGTGGTGAATCAGCCTCTCTAGGAGAATTATAACCACCACAAAACGACTAAACTTACTGATGTAGTACTTCAGTAGGCAGTAAATCTATTTTTCACTTAATTATAATTTGAACAACTCAGCTAAAAATGTTGAAAAAAATGAAGGCAAAAACCATAAATATCAATAATCATAATCATCTGCAGTGCATTACTCTGCAAAGACTCTATGGAGCAAAATGACATAAAATATTTAACAACTGGAGTTGCTGCATTTACAGTATAATTATAAAGAAAAGCGATCAACTGCGTGATTGAACAGTAAGATTGTCAAATTGAGTGGTATTCCCCTTTAACCCTTGTTGCTTCGCCATGCCGCGTTCAGGTGACACATGAATAAATAAGTGGGCACCGAGGCGCTTCCCAGCAGGCACCTCTGGAGTCGCCTGGGCTACCTGAGATAACTCTGTACACCTGACACCTCTGCATAAGCATGCAAAGCACCTCACGTTTACTGACTGCTTAATCACTCTGATGAAATAACCTGGGATGGAGCAATAGCATCAGTTGGAGTGGACCATTAGAGAAGACAGCACAACTTGAATGAAGTGATCTCAGAGGAGATTTCACGTTCCCCATAATGTCCCTGGTGCTTCCATAGAAGTGACAGGTCATCAACGCATTCATCAACTAATATCCATCAATCAACTATTTCTAAAACTGGCCATTTGTGCGCGAATTCAAAACGCTATGCATCACACTGTGCGCCAAAGTGAAAAAGCACTACGCGTAAAAGTCACGAATTACGCACAACTATGGTGGGTAGTAAATATTACAGTACACAGTAAAAAAAACATCCTTTATGGGATGAAATCCCTCTGCCGCAGTCCTCCCTCTCACATTATCCCGTGACTATGAACTTATTGCAGGGTGATCATGTCATTATCATATTATCCTACCTTCCTCGTCCGTGTCCGTCGCTGGCTGAGCGCCTTTAGATTCGATTGCCTGTCCTGCTGTGATGCGTTACCAAGTATCTGCTTCCCCCTCTCTTTCTCCCTCCCTCCCTCCCTCACTCCTTCCTTCCTGCACTCCTCTCTCTCTCCCCTGTTAGTTTTACTCTATCACCACCAACGCCTTGGTCATCGCTAATTTGTGTTACAAACCCTGCAAAACCCACCAGGCGCAAGATAAAGCTTCACATGTGCGCAACTGCCACACGATGTCCCGTAATGTTTCCTCGCCACTCGTCGTAAACCAGGGTTAAACTCCAGCAGCTCCAGCACTCACAGGTTCAGCCTCATAGCCTGAACACTTTGTTCCTCAGCAATGTTAGTATATCGTTCTCAAATACTCTCACACACAAATTCTGTCCGTGCATGCAATCTAAAGTTATGCATATGTTTCCCATGGCCTTGCTGCATTTATGTCAGTAACAAATAATGACAAATGATCTGCAAGCTTCACGGAAGAGGCTTCATTCACTTAGATTATAGAGATGTATTTATGAGCATCCTTAATATGCTTATCAACTAATATATTGCACAGATTAAATGTGAAATTCATAATTTAACCACAGGGGTCATGGATGGGAAGAGCGATGGTCAGGGTGAGACCACCACCTAGTGTTATAAATGGAAAATACAAGCAAAAAGCCAAAACAACCTGAGACCTAAGCCTGAGACACAGGGTGGAACACAGACAGGGAAATGAATGCCCCGAGGTCTGCTTTAATTAACACAGCTTCAAGATCCTGCAGTATGATTTTAACAGGTAGCCATTAGCCAATCTGAAGTTAGTTCAACATAAACACATTTCATCACAGAAGCAAATGATTTGACAAAGACAGGACTGGCACAGTGTGTCCCAAGATCTCTGGTTACTGAAGTTTGAAGATGTAACTATTACCTACACAGTGGAAAATATAATGATCTGCTCAGAGGGTTATTTCCACTCACTTCTAAACCTTGATATCACCAACTACTGCTTTTATTCATACATATGATATATATTTGTTCCTTTGCCAATGGTCTGAAAAGAATATATACCATTCATGAGCTTTGGGGAAACATCCTGCTACTGAGGAACAATCTGCTCACCTCTTAAAATCCTAAAAACATATTTCCTGAGCCAGTCCGTAACTAAAACTGTGACAGATATAGGGTGCATTCTTACTTTATCAAATTCAGTTATGTCTGGATGACAAATGGTGACCAAACAAGGGGAAATGAGATTCTAATTTACGTCAGAAAAGAGCAGTAATATACCCTCCCATGCTGCCAGTTTTTGAACTGTGTCTTCTAGCACCCCACACTGCAGTCAGTGTGTGCTGTTGGCAAGGACACTGATCCCTTGCCGAGGACAAGACGCCTCGCTTTGTAAATATCACCCCTAAGAAAGAGACTCACTGAAGGGAAGACAAAAAAATAATTAGATGCTTAAGCACAACCGAAGGTGCCCGTGTACACTGTGGTGGACTGAGGGAGCAGACGTGTTTTCAAATGAAAGCCAGTTTGAACTATGATACTATAGGATATTATTATGTTTGCAGGTAAACAGAAAACATATTGACTCACAATGACTGCTGGTGTGATAAGACCTTTTTGTCCTCCAGGATGTAAGTTGTACAGCTATAGGCCTGAAAATGCAAACAAAAATGTGTCATAGCCGCAAAATCAGTTTTTCACATTTTCTAGTTGTAGAAAGAACTGATTAATTAGTTATCAGAAAAACAATTCTGTTTATTTGAAAAGGGATTTTTACTGCTGTATCCTGCACCTCAGTACTTGTACTCAGTACAATTAACATCAATATCAAATACTGTGATAAATGCTGAGAATATATACTTTTTCAAAGCTTACTTATGGAGCCATAATTGGATATTTTGAAGTCATAAAAAGAGACGAGATACAAAGGCTCTGACGAACCAAAGTGATCATTTGCTGCTCTCTGGTGGATATTTTACTCAACTACAGTTTAGTGTTGAGCAATGAGTTGCCAATCAAATAGTACTGAAGTTTTAACAAATTTCTTTAAGTGCAAATATATGGGCTACAGGAGTTTACAAAGAGCACACAACGTCAAAAATAATAACACAATATGGTTACACACAATAGTAATTAACGTAGAGGCCAACAGTGTCTGGTTTCATGACATTTTCCCTTCTACTTTGTTTTCACCAACGCTAGAACAACAAATGGATACATACATACATTGTGTATTTCACATATTGTTAAGAGGACAGCGATATTTCTACTTTTGAGCTATTATGATGTGTATTACATAAACTTTGGCTTTTTCACTTGGCAGCCAATGCAAGTATTATTTTTCACCTCCTACACACACTGCATCTCTGATTTCAAACGCTTGCTCCAAGACAGAGCAGTTTGTGGAGTGGGAGAGAGAAAGCCCCGGTCCTCACCTAAACATTAGCATTGGTCAAGACGTTATGAATATCAATGTATGATACACTGCAGTGCTTAATGACCCAAAGCAGTTGCAAATACACACAGTGAGAGAATCCATGTTAGGTAATAGATAGATATTATACAGGTGAGCATTCTAATGTGCAGTGTAGACCAAACTTACTGGTTCATGAAAACCACGATGACAAACTCATTAGGTAAACCTGCTATCTTTCAGTGTCACTGTAAAGCTAACCAGTTTTTACTGGTTGTTTTACTCCATTGTATTCAAACATGTACGATCATTTTCAGAAAGTACAAATATTCAAACTTGTACTACTACTAAAATAGGACACGTCTGTGATTATTTTCATGATGTCTGTGATTATGGATCATGTGACATCTCTTCTCTCATCTTTGCAGCCAATAAAAATGCATCAATATATTTGCTTTGTGCTTCATGAAAGTATAATTAAGTATCTATTGTATCTGTATGATTTTTTTGGAGAAGTAATGTACAATAATATCATTTATAATTTAATTTATAACATTTCCCATCTGGCAGTGCTGTTAAAACACATGGTTCCTTTTCATTAGTGGCCGTGAACCTGCCAACAACACACACACACACACACACACACACACACACACACACACACACACACACACACACACACACACACACACACNACACACACACACACACACACACACACACACACACACACACACACACACAGCTGTGGACCCTGAGAGGAAGGTAACTCCCCCAAACTTTGCAATAACTAAAACCATGTTTACGATAATATTAGTAAATGCTCAATTAGCTGAACAGGACATCTTAGATACCATCATCATGTGAAGAGTGTAGCCTGGTTAGCATTAGCCAACAAAGCTGCAGCTTCCGGTTGTGTTGTTAGCTTTGCCTCAACAACCTCACCGAAAAGAGTGCAACCTACCTTTTATTGTTGGCCAGAGTCTCGGGCGTGTTTGACAAATGGCTGCTGGAACGTTTTAAAGTCGCTGTGCAGTAGTTCTCATACGTGGCAGCCATGTTGGCTCGTCACAGCAGAAACACACAGGTGTAGGTGATGACAGCAGTGATGGCTGAGTGCTATTTCGACGTGTCAGTGGACTGTACCAGTGAGGCTACATGCACAGTTAGGACGTGGAATCCACTTGTATTTGGAATGGAATGCTGCCATTATAAATAACACTAACTAGTCCCACTTTTTGTTTTTTCTCAATGAGTGTGCTGTAGAATTGTCCAATTATCACACTGCAGGTTATGATGTCCTCTCTGAATGACCCTGTGGAACGTGAGGTGTTTAACTCTTGCATAAATAGCCACAATGGACCAAAGGCTGGCTCACTTGAAATAGCACAGAACGCATGTTAGTAAACTTTAAGTGTGTATTTATATCCATGCAAACAGAAATGTCAAGATGTTGCTATTTCCCCATGTGTAATTCTTGCATTGCTCATTTATTCTAAGATTTACTGTTCTTAAATCTGGAACTTGTTTTTATGAAGCTCCGTGGCAGTGCCAGAGACTTTGTATATGCTACCTGGCTACAGCCACACAAACCATGATAGTGGGCGTTTATATAAAATATTAGTGATTAGGTGTTCTGAATATAAAGAAGATTAAAATAAGTTTGATTAGGTCCCTCTTAGGGTTTTGGCTTTGTGACAGTTAGCAGATGTCCAAAATTGCATTCCCCTTTAAACTGATTTCTAAAACTGCAGGGCTTTGTGTGAACCTGTAGAAAAAAATGTATCAGAGCCAAATATTTGTCCTCTGAAACTCATTCTGACATCAAGCAGTTGTAACTTTCCGCATCACGTGAGCGAGGTCCTTTTGTGTTTTGAGTAATGTGGTGGTGTGCTAATGACTCCCCAGCTGTCATCTGGGAGAAGGTGGTGCCAAAATGTGCAGGAGGGTGAAGAAAGCTCAGCCTATTACACTTGCACCACAGCAGACTCCCTTGGCAGTCATGAATACCTAGACAGTTTCTGGTCTAGGTTAATGTGCACCCCTCTCAGGGACAGTTACCTAACACCTTTGGATGGACTCACTGCAGGACCGTGCCAAGTAGCAACAGGCTTGCAGTATCCTTCCCAGTGTCCCATCATTCTTCTGTGTCTTCTGTCTGCTGCACAGAGCTGCTCATGCAGATTCACTGCTAAACTCCTTTTAGTATTCAGGAAAGGCCATTAGTAAGAAAGAATCTAAGTATTTGTGATGACAAGAGATTATATAGAGGATGAAAAGAACACTAGTGAAAAGAATGAAGTGATGATTTCCACGGAGAGACGTTTCTTGTCACTCCCTGAGTTGGTGCAGTGAGATCAAATCTCTCATGATAATCACTTGCTGCTCTCTCTGAGGTTTCAATGTTTTTTTCCCCTGTTGAAAGGATTTTCTTCCCTCACTCTTGTCAATGGTTAAGGGCAGAGGATGCCACACCTATTATTCCATTGAGGCAAATTGTGATTAGTGAATATGTGCTATACAAATCAGATTACATTGTTTGTAAAAAGGTAGACATTGTTCAATGAGTCCTGACATGATTATTGGTCTTAGTCATAGACTTTATATAAAGATGAATGACAACTCCCCAAAAGTGAAGCCAAAGCCTTTTGATCACCACCTGGTGGCTGGCTGCTGTATAGGCCATACATCCTGCCTCTGTGTTAGCAGATGGAACATGGTCCAAACAAAAAAGTCAAAGTACTTCTTTCTCAGAGCTGGATTCTGTCATTTGAGGTACTTCTTATCTCACTGATGTGTGTCCAATTGTTTATATCTTCGATAAATTTGATGCTATAAAGACAGGGTGAAATGTCATGATTGATAGCTGAGACTGATCGAGGGCATTTATCAGCAGGACTTCACTACCGCAGCTCTGTCCCCCAGTTAATGTTGCTGTTACTGAGCAGCATCTGGCTCCACATGCATAAAATGGCAATGTTTAAATCCATGTTCATTTTGGCTTCATTCCTGGAGACTGGGATGAAATGGAGACATGTCATGCATCTTTCTATGCAGTCAATGGTTTTAACATGACAGGTAAACACTTCACCTGCAACAAATGTTCCACTGAAGACACTTTGACATGTAAGAGCAGGAAAAGCACTAGGGTCAATTTTGAATATTATGATGGCTGAATTCCATTTAGCTGCTTTTGTTTTTAGTGTCCCATGTGTTGTCCATTTGGGTTCCCTGTTATTACTTAATTAGATGCGGAAATAAAAAGGAGCCTTCATTGATGATATAATATCTTTGCTTTTCCTTGCCAAAAAGGCCTATTGTTTCAGCCACACTGACATTTTAGGAGGTAGGCAATATGAAACCTTACATTGAATAAACAATAATTTAATAATAATAATAATAATTCTCACTTGCATGTTGAAATGTTTGTAAAATGTTTGCACACAAACTAAGGAGAAAAAATATTTATTGTGTAGAGAAAGTGCTGAAGAAGAGAAATACAGAAACTGATGAAGAAGAAGAGAGTGGGTGAAACTGACTCTGGGTTTCACATCCATCATATCACTAATTGAAATTAGAACCCCTATGAGCTTGATGAACATCATACATGCTCAGAGCTGCTTTAATGATCAAACAGGCCTCACACACAATGACCCCCGATTCTAATGGGGAACTTTTTGGCAAGAAATTGTGAAACCTCGGAAAGTGGCACAGATGCACAAATGTATTTTGCTTTTTTTCAAATAGAGGAATCTACATCAGAGTATAGAGAGCTAATTTCTGACATCAAAGAACTTGTAATAGAAATGATCAAACGACTTCTTGCATTTCAGATTTAATTGCACTTGTACTGTCTAATGTCATGCATCCTGTAAAGCAATTTCAGATTTTTATGTGGAATTGATTGAGGCCTTGTATGGGCATGTGGAACATAAATCACATTTAAAAAGCATGAAGGGCAGTAACATGATTCTGTTTGAGATGACGGGGCATTTGAAACTGAAGTGGCTGACCATGCAGCAGGAGAGAAATACATCTGAGTCGGTGTTTGACAGACTTAGATGCGATAACAGATGGCAGGTGGAGTCCCCATGAATAACAAGGAGCAGGGTAGACCTTGGCTTGTTTCTTTTGAATCATATTAAAATGAAATTACTCGGAGCAGTTTGGCTTGAAAGTAGCGATCGTAATTTGCTCACAGGCGAGAGGGAGCACAGGCAGGATAGCTGCGTTTGATACACACCCTGCTTCTCTTCCTCTTTTACCTAATTACACTCGCTCAGGCATCCCAATCTTAATGGAGTTTTACCATCACCAGGGACTCAAAATTAGAAACGCAGTTATGTAATAACTTTAATTAGACTTCTCTGCAAAAACAGTGCTGTTTTTATTTGCTTTTCATTGCTCTTTGTTTTACCTTTTTGTGCGTGTGCATGTTTATATTCATTCAGTTCATCATTTTTAAATGGGGTTTATAGGATTTGGATTTTGGCTTTGTTACGGAGGCAAATCCAGTAGATAAGTGGAAACATGGGGAAACAGATGCTGGTTCCAAATTTTTAAGATGGCAGCATTGCTATCCAGGATATTTGGACTTTCTGGATAGTGGGAGAAAGTGCAGACAAGGCATAAGGGGCCTGGGGGACCCTACATCAATCCACACCTCTAAAATTACAAAGCTTTTAGCACAAAGCTAGTGTCATAGGGCCTTGTTGGGAGGTCTCTGACCCTGGTGTCATTGCAGTATCCTATAGGTGATCATAGATTTTAAGGGGGTTCTCACAAATTGTCGTTGCTGTGAACTTATGTCATGAGCCATTCTCAGGGACCCCCTTCTCAGCTTGGGGCCCCAGGCAGTGGCCTGCTTTGCATACCCTGTTGCAACAGCATTTAAAGTCCCAGTGCCAACAGTGTCAAACATTACTGCATACAAATATATTCTCAGAGCCTGAAGCAGCAATTAGACTCTAGTGACTGGTTGAAGGTAATAACGGCGTCATTACTGACCTTTACCGAATTTGCAATCTCACCAAACTGAGATAGGATTCAGGACCTGTGTTGTTCACTTAATTAGAATCGTTCTGTTTTTTCTCCTCAGCTCTCCCCTTAATAAATGTAACAATGGATAAAAAGAGACAAAGGCCCGTACACTTGTAGCAACTGTAATCAGTCATTTCTTACACTCACTTCACTTTAGTGTTCTTTTATTACACTACTTTCCTCCAAAAATCTATTCTCTCTTCTCTGCTCATTAAAAGGAATTGATAGTTTGGAAGGTAAAATGATGCATCCAGACCTCAGACAGAAATATCACAGTCACATGAAGCGAAGTAAGTTTACTTACCAGATCTCAATGTAAGGCCAAGGACATCTTGTATAATGAGTGTGTCAAAAGACACCTTATACTTTACATGTAGTATGCAATGGGTCATCTATCAGCAGAAGCTTAAATCTCACTTTGATGTTCAATAGCAGAGTTACTAGTCCACACACGCATTTTTAGTTAGTCCTCTCACCAAACCTTTGCTTATGTGGATTGATAATGGTGTTATTTTCTCACCCTTGCAGATGAAACTATGCTAACAAGACAGTCAGGGTGACCCTGCTGTTTCGTAAATACACTATGATGCAAAGTAATTATTGTTTAGATTACAGTCTTTGGTGACTGATTTTGAACAATGATACTCAGGAGAAATGGTGAGTGCACAAGGCACACAACACAGGACTTGAGACAGATTTACATCCCGAAGCTTGTGTGGTTTGGTTTAGGAAAAAAAAAGCATTTTGATTAAAGATGTAGGTGATTTTAGTAAATATCGTAATAAGGTAAACATATTGTGTTTAGTGCTTTACAACAGTTTTTTTGATATCTCACCACACATTTCATTGAAATTTCAAATAACAACCCTGTCTCCTAAAAATTACCCACAAACATGAAGGGCAGCTGTGACTCTGGAGGTAGAGTCTCTGGTAGATCACTAACCATAAGATTGGTCTCCACGGCTGAGCTGACAGTGTATGAATGGTGTGTGACAGAAGTATAAGTGTGTGTGTATGTCTGTGTGTCAGCGGGTGTGTCAAGAAAATGTATGTAATCAGTGATTAAATTCGTCAGCACAGTCTTTTTGGGGTTGGTGGATAGGCTGATACGAAGGTGTCAGCTGA